GCAAAGAAAGAAGAAAAGCCTTCCTCCTGCACTAGCAGCACAGCTTAGCCCCCAGCATCCTAAATGGGCCTCTGCCTGTGTTTGTGCGGCCCCTGAGCTGCCTTTCTGGCCGACCCAGCTTAACCCCCGCGTTGCAATAGCGGCATCAGCACAGCCAGGGCTGGTCACCCCGGGCAGGTGTCCCCACGGCCTGCGGAAACGGTGCCAGCCCCGGCCGGGACACGTGCTGTCCTGCCCCTCGGGGAGGAGGCGCCAGAGCCGGGGCAAAGCTCCGCGCTTCGCTCCACCCTCCATCTCCTGTAACCCACGTCTGGGGTTTGTCTGTGTTGTCACTGAGCAGACAGGCAGGGCAATGAGGACAGCGCCGGTCGGAAAGGAGCTGCAGGCTGAAGGCCCGTTTAAAACACCCCTGTGGTGGCTCTTGGGGAGGTCAGTAGCCTGATCGGGCTGCCTGGGCCTACAGCTTGGGAAAAGTCACTAGTTTCTCACTTAAGCCACACTGCTGCAAAACGAGGTACTGCATTTTACAAATTACCATGCACAAAATATTCCCCTGTTTAAAATCATCTGCATCGAATTTCTCCTTTTTCCACACTGTACTATGAGAAGCCTTTAGCCAACATTCCTATATGTCCATATTAATAATCTTTAATTCAAAACCTGTATTGCTTTACCCATCTCAGCACTTGCCTTTAGAGAAGCAAGTCCTTCATGGTGTTTGCAGGAACCCCAAAGTATTTTTTGCTCCACTAGAGTGAGCGAGAAACTCTAAGTTCACCGTTTATGCAAAGCCAATATAACCAGGCTAATACCAATATCGTATAGGAAACGATCACAGCAGTGGTCAGTGCTGAGGTTCCAAAGAGGGGGAGAGGAAACACAAACAAGGGTGTTTAAAGCAGGGCCGATTGCACCTCAACACTGATGCCGTTTTTTTCCACGGATGGTGCCAGCCCAGGGACCCAGCCTGGCCATGCTGAGCCACAGAGGTCAGGCAGCCCCCCTGGACCCACAAGAAGGCTCAGGGCCTTCAACACAAAAGGCACAGAAACAGCTACGCCACATGGTCTGTATCTGACACAAGGAGCTTGACAACATTGCCAAGAAAAGGCATTTTCATAGAATGCTAAAGGTTGGCCAGGGCCTCTAGGGATCATCCAGTCCAACCCCCTGCACACGCAGGGTCACCTAGAGCACATGGCACAAGATTGCGTCCAAGCGGGTTTGAAGATCTCCAGAGAAGGAGACTCCACAACCTCTCTGGGCAGCCTGTTCCAGTGCTCTGGCACCCTCACTGGTAAGAAATTTTTCCTTAAGTTCCTGGAGAACTTTTGGTGTTTCAGTTTGTGGCCATTACCTCTAGTTCTGTCAGTGGCCACCAGTGAAAAGAGGCCGGCCCCATCCTCCTCACTCCCTCCCTTGAGGTACTTCTAGACACTGATTAGATCCCCTCTCAGCCTTCTCTTCTCCAGGCTGAACAGGCCCAGCTCCCTCAGCCTCTCCTCATAGGGCAGATGTTCCAGGCCCCTGATCATCCTTGTGGCCCTGCGCTGGACTCTCTCCAGCAGCTCCACATCCCTCTTGTACTGTGGAGCCCAGAACTGGACACAATACTCCAGATGCGGCCTCACCAGGGCTGAGTAGAGGGGCAGGATCACCAGGAGCTTGCCCAGGAGGATGTTGTGAGGGACAGTGTCAAAAGCCTTGGTGAAGTCGAGATAGACGACACCCACCGCTCTCCCCTCATCTATCCAGCTGGTCATTCCATCATAGAAGGTTATCAGGTTGGTCAAGCATGATTTCCCCTTGGTGAATCCATGCTGACTACTCCTGAGCACCTTCTTGTCCTCCACGTGCCTAGAGACAACAGCCAGGATGAGCTGCTCCATCACCTTTCCAGGGATGGAGGTGAGGCTCACTGGCCTCTAGTTGCCCAGGTCCTTCCTGACATTTCTCAAGACTGACGTGACATTGGCTTTCTTCCAGTCCTCAGGCAGCTGCCCCAGTCGCCAGGACCTTTCGAAGACGATGGAGAGCGGCTTAGCAATAACACCTGCCAGCTCCCGCAGCACTCAGATGCTTCCCATCAGGGCGCCTGGATTTGTGTGTTATCGAGTTTTCCTAGGTGCTTACTGACCCAATCTTCCTCTAGACTTCCCAAGACTTCGCAGGACAAGTCTTCCTCTCCAGGCTGCTTCTTTTTTTGAAGAAGAACTGAGCGTGCACGAGTGTGTGTGCAGAAGGCCAGGCTTAGCCACCCTGACCCATTTACGCACATGAGCAACGTATCTTTCCTCACATCTCACTCCTCTGCTACCGCATGTTTCCCTCAATGCACCTAAATCACCTTCATCTCCTGCTGAGCGGAGACGACCTCACGGCCGCTGTCTTGCATTCCGTATAAAGCCCCGTTTTTAACAGGAACGCTCCGTTCCTGAGCAAGAGGACAGTTGGTTTCCGCAGCAGGGCTCCGGCTGCCCCACAAGGCAGCAGCGGGGCAGCAGGCCGCTCCGCAGCCCCTTGCGCAGGACACGGCTGTTCCCGAGCCCTTCTCCGGGCGCGGGTCCTGCTGCTCCCCGCTGCCACGGCCGCGCTCGCTCCACGAGCAGGTTCTGCCACAGAGCGGCAGCCCCCACCAACACATTCCCCCCTGCGCGGACGCCGAGCACGGAGCCTTCCTCAAACGCCCTCAGGACACCGAAGCCCTCAAGTAGGGGCCCAAACCGCGCCGGGACGGAGGTGCGTGTGGCCGCGGGCAGCACAAGCCCCGTCTCCGCACGCACTTCAGCAGCACTGACCTGGCATCCCGGTGCCGCCCGTGCCCTCCTCGGGCTGCTCCGTTGGCCTGGGAAGCGCGAGCACGGCAGGGAGCAGGGCTGGAGCACAAGGCAGTAATGAGCTAGCAGGTGCCGCTGATCAGCCACACTGCAGGGCCACACCTGAGCCCCACGAGCAATCAAGAGAACAGCCACCAAGGAGGGTGAACTACGCAGGGCTTCTGAGCAGCACAGCAGTGTCACCTCCATCAGAGGAAATGCCACCCTGGTGAAGCAGCAGGAGATACCAAGGACCACACGGTTGCACTTGATCTTGAGCGTCTTTTCCAACTATGATGATTCTGATTTACAGAGAAACAACTGCTGCTGGGGGTAGTGCTGGGCTCCTGCACGTGTTGTGCGCAGGCTCTCAACTTGACCACTTAAATTCTGCTACAGGGAACGGTGACGGGTGGGGGCTGCTTTTTTGTTTTGAAGCTACTGCCAAGGAAACATTTTGAATTTAGTCTTGTTTTAATTAACACTTCCATCCCTGCCCACAGGGATGCACTACTTCAGGGGAGCAGCACGGGGGTTGTTTCTGGAGTATAGTTTGTTTTTATTTATTTAATTTGTATTAAATTAAATAGGTTATGTTTACTAGTAATAGCTGCCTGGATGCAGTTGCAATTTACTTTGAGAAATTAATTAAGGATTGTTATCTTGACAGCAACAAGATTTTTTTTTTTATGAACAGATTAAAATTTGTTTTTGAATGAAAACATATGTGACTAAAATAGTTACCAGAATTATTCCTAGGAAATGCCCACCTGGGAGGATGGATACCTCATGCAATCCAACAGCCCCACGATGCAGCAACAAGACCCTTGCTCTGCAGGCGGCTCCACGAGCCAGGACAGCAGAGAGGTGAGTGACTGTGGCCAAGGCAGCAGCCCGTGTTCCTGGGCAGACGCTGGTGCTTCTCTGCAAGCCCCAGTTACACCAACAGCAGCAGGGAACAGCTTTGAGCAAAGACTAGCTCACCTTTTATTACGAGCGAGGGCTGGGAACAGCGCTGCTCACCATCGTTTTGCTTTCTGGGCTTGCCCCACGCAGGTCCTAGGCCAGAAAACATCGTCCTTGTCCTTCTCCTGGACTCTACCGTGGGCTCGATGTCTTTCTAACCGGTCGAACCTGCCATCATACCAGCAGTCTACACGTAATTCACTAGGAATATTTTCACATTTCATAAACACAAATACCTCAGTAGTCTCAGCACAGAAGCTAAGAACACAATGACTTCAAGGAGCTGCTTTTTCTCTTGAAATGTCCTCTCCCGCTCGGCACTGCGGACGATGGACGGCGCCGTGTTTGGATGCAACGGGGTTTTACTCCTCCAAAGACAAAACACGTGGTATATTTGCAGGCTAATGGGCTGGTCTGATGGTCAACCTATTATTGGACACTGCCCAATCCAATTAATGAGTCTGAATATATTTACAGTAGTACAGGTATTGGAAAAAAAGAATTAGAAACAAATTAAGTGATCCGAGTCTTGAAAGGAAGAATCCCTGTTATTATCCCAATCATATAAACCACAAAAACCACGTCCCAGAAAGCAAATGTTTCCTTCTAACTGAAGTAACGTGGAGGATACACCAAACGACTGGCCTAATCATTGTTTTTTTTGTCTTTTTTCCCGTGTTCTCTATATGTGTCCAACTCTGTGTTTAAATAGGCTCAGCACCTGAAATAACTGTACCTACTCAGATAATGAAGACGCATCGTATACAGCTGAAACTCATTAATAACTTCTTAATGGCACACTGGATTACAGTTTAAATAGTGTTTTTCTTGCTCACTAGACACGAAAACAATTATTAGCATAGACACAGAAAATTATTACGCGTCAGACTACAGAAGTATTTCCATTAATACTCTAATGGAAGCTGAGCCCCAAAACAGAGACAATTTAGTCCTACGGTTGTGCACTGGGTGGTGGAGTCCTTCCTCCACTGATTGAAAATCAGATACACTGAGTACTGAGTACTGACAAAGAGGATAATAAAAAACTCCAAACTTTTCCAGCATTACATTTTAATTGAATTTAGAGATGTTGACAATTTTGTATCTTCCACGAAAACATGTATTTTCATACGTAGCATGTTCTTGTGAAACACACAGCGCCAGAAAGAAGCCTCTCTACTTCGGATTGGTTCCACAGGGCTAAAGTCACATATTGCTCCAATATCATCTATACATGAACAATTTTTCAAAGGACTTCGGTTCTCACTGATGTCCTTTCACATTAATTCTCTCCCTTCAGAACAGGCAACAGTTCACCACTTTCTTTTAGCTCCTGTGAAGAAATATATAGAGAGATTTTTTTAAGGTGTATTTTGTGATTACGCTAACAAGATTTCATTATGGGTTGTTTGCAGACAAGAAAATAATTTATTGGCTATTAAAAGCATAAATTACATGACCCACTAGAGGTCCCTCTCAAACAAGATTATTTAACATCTCCAAGGTTGGAGATGAATGAATGAATTCTACTTTTTGTCCATCTAGCAAAAGACGAAACTTTGGGGGGAAAGGTGCCCTCTTTCCCCACGTCCCAGGGGAATCTTACTCCTTTACCAAGTAAATTATTCCCAATTATAGATAAAACATATTGCAGATATATTTTGTAGATACACACAATTTTGCAACATTCACAGTGTCTCATGCAAAATGAAACAGTGACATTCACTGCTTTCTACCAAACAAACAGGAGAGTGAGATATTTAGAAGCTGTAAATAAGAAATATTTGCTTGCAATACCTTCATGGCAGAGTGAGATATTTAGAAGCTGTAAATATTTGCTTGCAATACCTTCATGGTTAAATTCAAACTATATAGCTTTTAATCTATTAAGCAGGTATTATTTTCCTACATCTCAAGAGAAATATTCTACAACATCTTCTATTAAAACCATTTCCTGATATTCTCTACCTCAATTTTATTTCACAGCAAGATACATTATTGAATGTATTTTAAAATACTGATAACATTCATCTACCTGTACAAATTAGTCTGTGTGAACTGAACAGTCTAATAATGCAAATAGAAAATTGTATTCAAATAGCAGCAAAGTGTTTTGCAGCATCTCTGCAATGCCCAGGACTATACTTACTGATCATTGAAATGACCCATACACTTGTTAAATAAATAAAATTAAAGTCATCTATATAATTTAAGTAATACCAGTATTTTTAGAGCTAAATGAGATTTATTGATCGTATCTTCCCAAGAGTTACCATGTCTGAGGAATTGGCTATAAACCATTCAGACAAGAATAGGCTCAAGAGTATTTGGGGTTTAGAACACTGTGCCTGCTCTGTTACAAAAATCAAAAACCACAGTAACAGATGCAGATCTATTTTTGTTGCTTCAGGCTCTGTTCAAACAGCTACAATAAACCTTACTTTTTCCAAGAATGAGACTGTTTGCTAGGAAAAAATGTCTCACCCACCTTATCTGAGAAAAGCAATGTCAAAAGTAAAACTAAGAAGCAAGAAAAACCTGTAAAAATGCACCCACGGGGTAAAAATGGTCTTTACAGTAAAGGTAACTGACTGCTGTCAAGAAAATACATTTCACTGCTACATCTTAGCATATAGGAACGCTAGATTTAAAGCCCCTTTCAACCATACGCTGAGATAATGGAAGTCACAGTAAAGGCAACCAAGCCATTCGACTGCAAAATCTCAGGCCACTAGGCAGGAATTTCTGTATGTGGAACCAGGAAACATCTGTGCAGCTCTCGGCAAATGGCCAGTTTCCATGTCACCCGGCCCTGTCCCAGGCTTACCTTAACAATATCCAACCCTCCAACGAGTTCACCTTTTACATACACCTGAGGGTACGTCGGCCAGTTTGAATAGGTTTTCAGTCCTTGTCGCACCTAAGAAAAACAACCTCAAATGTTAAGGGCAGCTTCCGTAAAATTAACCCCGAAACACACAAAGTGGGAA